GAATCAATCAATCCTTTAGAGTTATATTTTTTGTGAATCATAGACGATAGACCAAGTAAAATTGGAGATAAAAAAGAAGGTGGCCTTACAGATGTGATAATTCAATAAGACATTGTGGCCACTTTTTTATCCATTCTACGAGCATTATTTGTACTATTTTCTTTATTAATTTTACTCACAATATCCTTAAAAATTGCAAAGTTTTAGGAAAATCCTTGAAAAGATTGCCTTCATTTAAATCTAAAATTTCGTAATAAGTCGTATTGTATACTTTCGAACGTATATCTTCTATAACAATTTCAGCGGCCATTTGAACAATTTCAGTTTGTCCGTCTTCTTTAGTTTATCTTTTTTCGTACCAGTTCCTTACTTGCAGTACCCACTTCTTTACGCAATATCTTTTGATGGACTAAAATTTTCCAAAGGTCACTTAGGTATATAAATTATTTTCAAATAGCAATAAATAAATATGTACGCATTTAATTAAAAGAAAATTTTACAACATTCTTATAATATTGTAGATGTCTTATCAAATATAAACATTATTAACTTTATTTTTTGTTAATTATAGTAGAATATTTCAATATATATTTTCTTTATTTGGCAATGTACTATGAAATTTTACGCCACATGAGTAATTACAGTGTTAATTTTAATAAATATCTTAAAAATGTACATACCTGTAGAAAAAAAAATTCGATTCCAGTTTTCTTGGTTTTTTGCGTTTTTTGAGAACATTTCCCATAGTAATGTATAGTCTTTTTTTACACTATCAGAAAGTAGAAATTTCAACGAACAAAAAACCCATCGACGCATAAAAAAGCTGATATTTTAACTCGAGTTAGTAATAAGATTAGTTTGCATGTTTAGATTTACTTAATTATCATTTTACCATTGCATTTTAAAACTAGATATTTTTCAGTCTGTTCATAAACTTGAAAGAAGGAGCATTAAAGCTTTATATAAAATTGTCCGATCTTTTTCGTATTTTTGTAATTAATTAATAAAGTATTTATTTTTTAAAAATAGTTTTCCCGTAGGCAAACTATAAGTCGCGTGAATTTTCGATTGAAAATTAGAGTGCTTTTTCTATATTAAATCAATATCAGGTAAAAAAATAAATTATTTCATTTCAAAAAATTACAGTATGTTTGGTACATACTAAGGCAAGTTTTCACAAAATTTTGTAAAAAAAAATTTTTTTTGTAAAAGATAAAGATAAAAAATCAAAAACTTAGTTTTTTAAATTTTTCACAAACATTTTTAGGTTATATGAAAAAAGTGTAAATACAAAAGTTGTAGATCTTATTGTTACCTACATCTTTGCTATTTAACTTTTTCCACAGCGCCTGTAGTTTCGATGAAAATCGCAATAAACCGATTTTTACCCTTAAAAACTCACCCTCTCCCACTTTCCGACCTTGGATGGAGTGGAATTTATTTTTTCTTTTTATTCTTGGATGGAGTGGAAGTTTTTATCTTTTTTAAAGGCTTCGACACTGGTCTAAATTTGATTTTATCACAAATATCACAATATTTACCTCATAGTTTGAAAACAACACCTTGAATCAGCTTTAAACTTGGAACAACACATATGGCACACTGTTGCCAAACGTTTGTAACTTAAATCGGTTCAAACTGGACGTGAACGGCAAAATTAAATGAGATGCGTTCATTTGCGTGTTTTTACCCCCAAACTATCCTATTATGTACGCCGCGGTAGAAAAAAATATTAAACATATTAAACAAGAAATGTAGATGAAATTATCTTAAATAAATTGTTTATTGGTACTTTTTTTTGGCACAGAAACAATGCTTGCAGCGAGAGCCATTTTGAATGTCAGTTACGTGCGCGAAATCAATTTTTGAAATAAAATTTGTACCAACTCGACGGTAAAAATTCTATATCTTTGTTTAAACTTTTATATCGAAAAATATCAAAATGCGTTTTGAAGGTGAAGGATGGATCTTTTTCAATGCAGTTTTTGCATTTTACTGCAATGGAAGTCAGTTTTTATAAAGCTGTTGAAGCAAAAAGTAAATGAACGTTGTGCGATTTTTGCCATTTTTTATAATTCTCATAAGCTTAATAAACTGTATTACTTTTATTGACCGATTACTATGGAATTTTAGAACACAATCTTCAAAACCGCCATGGAAATTCGATTTTAAGTTTTGGCAATAGGTATATGAAATATGCCTAAAAATGCGCTGAATTTATACTTTCAAATTACTTAATGGGGGCTTAGGGCAAAGCCCGAGGGTAGAAGTGAAAAACTTTTTGCATTAATTTTGGATATTCTGCATAGAAGAACAGTGGAACGAAATGAAGACATCTATTACCACAATTTCGCATAAATATCTAAAATCAAAAAAAAGAAAAGAAGTAAGAAAGGATAACAGATAAAATATTGTAAATGATGGAAGAGCAAAAAAAATTAAATGGTAGGAATGACAGCGAACACAAACAGTTGCATAAGACTTATAATAAAGAAGATAAAAGAAGAAAAAGAAGTATGGCTGACGGAGAAATGTATGAAAGTTGAAACACTACAACGGATACATGATGATTTCCATAGGCACAAAAAAAATTTAAGAGGCACAGAATAACAGAGAACAACGCAATACAGGCATGGTTGTGGACATTAAAGGCCAAATTTTGACTACTATTGAAGATAAATTACGAAGATGGAAAGAATATGTTCAAGAATTATACGAAGATGCAGCACGACGTCCGACTGAAATAAACAATCCCTATGGCCCAGAAATAACAAACCAAGAAGTAACTATGGCCACTAAGCGGATTAAAAATGGAAAATCACCAGGACCTGATGAGGTGCATGGTGAAATTTTAAAGCTATTAGAGGCACACTAAATCACAGCTCTTACGAAGCTATTTAATAACATATATGAGAGTAGTTACTAACCAAAAGACTGGCTACTATTAATATTCATTCCACTTCCTAAAAATGCCAGCGCTAGAAAATGTAACGAATATAGATTAATTAGTATCATGGCCTGGAATCTTATGACTTGGTTCATTCCCCCATCACTTTAACCCCAGCGAGTTAATAAAGAGTAATGACAGCCTATCTCTCTCACGAAGACTTTAACCAATCATAAACCAAATAAAATGATCAAACGAAGCAATGTCAATTCTGTCAAAAGTAATGACAGATCTTCGGTTTGTTTACAAGTTTTCAATTTTATTTTATTATCTTTAAATTTCGTTTGCATTAATCTTAGTAATTTAAATTTAAATTTGGTTACTTAGTTTTTAAAGTTTATTTTGAGTTACCTATTGTAGCAAAGAATTTTTGTGTTGTGCTAGTAAAAGAACTAAACATGGTGAATTATGGTATTGTTTCGTTGTGTACAAATCATGAAAAAATTACAAAAAGGATAATGATAGTAAGTTGTCAGGAAGCAAAAAATAATAGTATTTGACTTATGAAAATATGTGTAATATATATTATGTAATTGGTTTATAACTAATTTATCTTAACAAATAAATATACGTGTATCTAGAAAAACATGTGCATCTTTTATATATCCTTATTTTCCAGTAAATTTTAATTAGTAAAGAAATAGCCCACACGAGGCGCTAAAGGTTATGTATGTAGGGGGTGTCCATTCGAATTTACCACCAAAAGATGATTAGTATTGACTCCAGCCGCAAGGGGTCCTAGTGAACGAAATTTATACATTGAGTTGCCTATCTATTTCTACTATTATATTATTTATCTATGATTAGTATGATGGGCTATGTACTTAAAGTTCTCCTTACTATCATTCACTCGTGCATATACACCTAAGGACTCGAAACGAGGGAATTACTTTTAGTTTGCAAGTTCTAGTACAGAGAGTCAGGGATGTCAACTGCGATGTTTATGCATGTTTCATTGATTTCGAGAAGGCATTTGATAAAGTCCCACATGGGAAATTAATTAATATCCTAAAAACATCAGGACTCGATGATAAGGATATAAGACTGATCTCAAACTTATATCTCCAGCAAAGAGCAACAGTACGATTAGAAAATGAACTGTCCGATATCTTCACAGTCGAAAAAAGAGTTAGACAAAGTTGCATATTGTCACCGATATTGTTTAACTTATACTTTGAAAACATCTTTAAAAAGGCGTTGGACGAATCAGAAGATGGGATTGCGGTAAATTGGTCAACGGGATTGGCCAACTTATAAACGACATTAGATATGCAAACGATATGTTGCTGGCAGATAGTGTGCATGACCTCCAAAGGATGATGAATAACGTTGTAGAAGTATGTAACAAATAGCCAGGACACTGACGCAAGCCACAGAAAAGTGGATTGAAGCCTTCGAGGTGGGGATCTACAGAAGAATTTTAAAATAAAGTATGTGGACCATGTCACCAACGTGTAGGTCCTACAGTGCATGATAAAAGAAAAAGAAGTACTTAATTTAGTGAAAAAACGTAAACTTGAGTACCTTGGACACGTGATACGGAACGAAGAAAAATATCGAATTCTTCAACTCGTTATGCAGGGTAAAGTGTTTGGCAGGAGAGGGCTGAGAAGCCCGTATCTCGTGGTTAAAAACCTCTGACAATGGTTTAGGGTGACCTTCGCGGAGCTTCTTTGGCAGAGCAGTCAACAAAACCATGATAGTCTTGATGATCGCCAACATGCGGACTGGACAAGGCACTGAAGAAGAACAGGAATACTGTACTATTTGTAATTATTTTTTTTCTGAAATTAAAAACTATTTGTTACCTATTTAATATATTAATGCGTTGTTTCTTTATTATGAGATTTCTCTTCCTATATAGTAACACATATTAAAAATGTAAATTTCTTGTCTGAGGATTTTAATTTTCTTAGTGTACCTATTTTACAATTATTAAATTTATAACTATTATAAAAAACCAGTAGATAGATAATAATTATTGATAATATTACAAATCAAAAATAATAAATGTTTAGTTAATTAAAATGTTTTAAATAATAAATATTTTCAGATGATGAGCATGATGATGAATACTGGGATCACTTGTACAGAAAAAATCCTGCAGCAGAACACGATGACTGGAACAATAAAACGTGTTGTAAGTATTAATTTGTAAACAATAATTTTTTAAATTTTTTCTACTTTTAATTTGATACCAAATGTTGTGTAAAGTACAATTAATATTTGATGTATTATTTTCTTCTTCTTAACTTGCCCCATCCCTAAGGATATTGGCGATTATTACGGCCCATTTTAACTCTATTTGCAGCCGTTTTGAAAAGTTCTATTGACGTTTTCCCACTTCATTGTGTCAGATTCTTCCAGGACCAGGACATGCTTTTTCTCCCCGGTTCTCTTTTGCCTTCCACCTTTCCTTGTATGATCAGTCGCATCAATTCGTATTTCCCGTTTCTTAGTATGTGACTTAAGTAGTTCATTTTTCTTTTCTTTATAGTGTTGAGTATTTATTTATCTTTTTTCAAAACGCCATTTTATATCCGTACTTCTATCCCATTCTTCATTTAGTTCTCAACCTAAGAATTAATATCTGTGCACCCTGCCTAAAATTTTTCCTTTCGCATAAACACTGTCTTCCTCAATCTTGTTCTTGCTTACCACCATGATCTTTGTTTTATTTGTACTCAGTTCCATTTTATACCTTTCGCATTATTGGGTAATGAGATCAACCAAGATCTGTATTCTTTCTCTGCTGTCCTCAAGGAGTATTGTATCATCTGCGTATCTAAGATTATTCAGAATAAAGATGCTATAAATATGCTCTTTAAATAATTCTTCTGAATACATTTTAAAAAGTAAAGGGGCTCACATCCTTGTCTTACTTCACGATTTATAGGTATTTTTTTCGATTTTTGTTGGTCTATTCGTAATATTTCTTTCTGATATCGGTATAGATTGGCAATTATTCTTACGTCTTTGTCATCTAATTCGGTGTTCTGTAGTATTTTTGCCATTCTTTGGTGTTGTACTTTTTCGAAAGCTTTTTCAAAGTCGACTAGACATATGAGTATGCCGCAATTGGCATCTTGACATCCTTCGATTAGTGTTTGTAAAGTAAATAATGCTTTTTTGGTGCCAAAGCCTTTTATGAATCTCAATCGATTTTTAGCTATTCTATCATCGAGCTTTTTATAGATACGTTCGTGTATCACTCGTAAGAACACTTTTAGAATATGGTTCATCAAGCTAATTGCCCTGTGCTCTTCATACTTCATTTCGTTTGATTTTATGGGTATTGAAATGAATATTGATATTAACCATTCTTCTGGAATCTCTCCCGTATAATAAATGTCATTAAATAATTCTATTAGTATGCCCATATAATTTTTTGGTAATATTCTTAAGATTTCTGTAGGTATTTCATCTGGTCCCATATCCTTCTTATTTTTTATACGTTTTAGCGCTTTCTCAATTTCGTCTTTGGTCACTGGTGGTCCATTTCTTTCTCTTGGTTCAATGATAATAATTTTCTCGTAATCTTCGAATAGTTATTTTATGATTTTTCTCGTCTGTTTATTTTATCTGTACATTCCGTTATTATCTTGTTATTTTTATCCATGATATTTAGGATACCTTGCTTCTTGTATATGCAAGCTGTCTCTTTGATTTTCCGGGGTATGTTAAAACTGTCATGTTGTTTATCTAACCTTTCTATTTCTTCACACTTTTCTGATAGCCACCGTTCCTTAGCTTCTTTGATTTTCTGTTTGTCTTTGTACTGTTGTTCGTTTTTATTCTTGTGTGCCCTTTTGCCGTCATCAGTTCTTTTATCTCTTGTGTAATCCATTATTTATATTTAGATGATATGTCTTCTTAAAGTTTGTGTTTTGTGATATTTCTCAAGTTTGTGCACTTGTTCTTTGATTTGTTTGTATATATCAGTTTCTTTTAGTTGTCTAAGATTGATTCTCGGTGTTTTGGCAGTTATTTTTAACTTTTTTAACTTGAGTTTCATGTATGCTAGAACTAGAACTTGATTGAGGTCATTTGGTATATCTGCTCCTGGGCACGCTTTAGCCGATTATATGGCATTTCGGAATCTTTGATTTATTATTATATAATCTATTTGGTTTTTCATTATAATTTCATCTTCATCTTTAGGTGCTTTTCATGTATATATTCTCCGATTTGGAAGTTTATAGCACGTGTTTTTGATAATGAGTTCATTACCTTTGCCAAATTGAACTAGTCTTTCACCCCTTTCATTACGTGTTCCCAGTCCGTGTTCTCCTACTACTTCTTTAGTAGTTAAAGTTACCTAAAATCAAATTTACTTCTTCTTTTTAAGTTTCATTATATGTTTTGCTTAAGTCATTGTAGAAGCTGTTTACTTCTTCCTCGCCTATACACCTATACATATAGGCCTATACGTCTATACCTACCCTTTGACTGATCTTTCGATTTCTTTGCTGATGACTATTGCTACTCCATTGCGGTTTTGTACGTTATTATCTCCGGAATAGTAAAACACGCAGTTGTCTATGACACTTCTGGCGCTGTTAGGATATCGGACTTCACTATATCCAAGGATATCTATCTTTAAGCGTCTCATTTCTCGTGTTAGATTATGAGCTTTTCCTTGTTGGCACAAACTCCGCACGTTCCAAGTGCCTATTTTTTTTAGTGTATTTAGTTAGTTGGATGACTGGTCTTGTAGATGTTTTTCTCAATACATCACTGGGATTTTGCTTGTTGACAACCTGAGAGGCCCTGTGAACTTTTGTTTGTTTCTCTCCTGCCGGATCTCGGCTTCCGATTTCCGTAATCAGTAATGTCTACTGGTTTTGTTACCACTGCGATCATTGCCGTGATGATTCTTCTAGAAATATCCTTAAGGATCTTTAATGTGCTAGTCATCTTGTGGCTTTCCACACCATTATGCTGTTGGCTACTTATTTGTAACTACTTCGCCTTAGGGGTTAATTTCTTAACCGCAGTACAAGAGAGTGTTCTGCCGCTTATTTACTCGTCTGCCCGAAGCCGTTGGTTAAAAATAGGATGATTGCTTATGCCTGCAATCATTCGGTTTATCTTTAACTTTAGATAAGGGGCCCCTACAGGGTGCTATCAGCCGGGCCAGCTGAATTCCGGTTTTTTAGGTGTTACTCCTCTTAATTATTTTCCATTGCAACGTAAAATAATCCTGGATGGGTAGAAAGGATGCCCAAAAGTTGGGTAATATTTTTTGTAACGTAAAAGTAAAGTAAAGTTAAAAATTTAAGTTAATCAAAGAATTTTATATTTAAAGACACTCACCATGTGAACCGGCACTTAGTTATTTGGAAACTTTTCATATCTACAACGCTTAGTACCTTTTTTTCGTTAATACATATTTGTAAAGACGTATGTGCCCATTTTTAAAAGTTATACCAAATTCGACTTTAATTTTGTATTCCGATTGTAATTATTGTTTTTACATTACAGCTTTTTCATATAATGGACCTTGCAAATGTCGAAAAGAAGATTTGCTTTGTAAGTACCAGAACTATGACAAAGCTCCGGCCGATCTACCAGCAGCTGATATAAATATTTTGTAAGTTTTAAGAAAATACTAAGGCATTTAGCATTAACCTTTAAATTTTTAGGGATTTTACTGGAAATAATTTTAAAAATTTGACCGTTGATTCTTTAAAACATGTTCCAGATACAGTGGAAAAATTGTAAGTACTATAATATTTATTCTAAAGTATACTTCTGCTACGTAATTATAAAAAAATGTAATTATTAAATATTTCTTCACGTTTATTGATGAAAATCATGGTTAAAGCTTTGAATTTCAATTAATAAAAATCAAACTTTAAAAATAAGAGTATCGAATTATAGCACAAAAGCCTCTTTAGTTTTTAGCTTTAACCTTAGACAGAAATCTCGTATTAGAAAAAATAATAAAAAAATGATGTAAGTACGTACTATTTTAATACGTGTCATATTTTTGTGCATTTTTTTAATATATAATATTAATAACGATTGGAAATATTACTAGTATAATCATATTCCCAATTATATTTTTACTGATCAGTTGGATGTTTGCAATAAAGGATTTAATGATGACCATGCATTTTATATGCTTTAATGAACATAGATATGAACATGAAGTCATTCGATACAGTGAAACATAATCGCTTAATAAAACTACTGAGAACAAAGAACATCGACACACGGGATATAAGTATAATAAATAATATGTATTATGAACAAGAAGCTATCATAAGAATAAATAGTAATGTAAAAACTAATAAAATCAAAATCAAAACAGGTGCTAGACAGTGCTGTATCTTGTTGCTATCACTGTTTAATGCATACTCAGAGGAAATATTCAGAGAAGCATTAGAAGATGAAGTAGCCGGCATAAAAATAAATGGCCTACCCATACGTGAACTTAGATATGCTGATGATACTATACTTCTTTTTCTTGTGGTGTCTATCCGTTACGGTTACTACTAGCATGAAAATTCTAACTTTATTGACCGCAGATCGAAATAGTTCTGAAGTGCTCAAGGAAAATAATTTTCGTAAGTTCTGGAGCCATGATTTGTTTCTTCTTCCTGATCCCTTCTTTCCGTAGACCTTTCCCTGTAATATAAGTTGCAGCAGGTTATATCTATGATAAGGTAATGATAATGCAATATATGTCTAAGATATTTTAGCTTGCGATATTTCACTGTGGATATAATTCCACATGTTTTATCCATCCGACGTAGAACCTCAATGTTTGTTATTCGGTCCACCCAGGAGATCCTCAGTATCCGTCTATAACACCACATCTCAAACGCCTCAAGTTTTCCCATGGATGCCTAACCTAACCTAACCTAACCTAACAGAAGTGTACATGATTCAACCACATAGAGCAGCACTGTAAACACGTAGCATCTCAAAAAACAAATTTTCGTTTTTAAGGGTAAGTTGTGGCTCTTAATATCTTGCTCATTCTGACAAACGCTGACCTGGCTTTTTCAATTCTTTGTTTTTTCCTAAGTGTTCCCATTGGTCGTTTATGGTGGTTACTAATTAGTAGTAACGAAGCACTTGGAGTAATTGTTACTGATCTACCAGTAATTGGCTAGGTCGAATATGCTTTTTACTGATGACCATGTACTTTGTTTTCTTGATGTTAAAATCAAGCCCGTATTCTTGATTGATTTTCAACAATTGCGTTACTAGTATCCATAAACCTTTTAAACTGTCTGTAAAAAGAATGATATCGTCTGCGTATCTGATGTTATTCAGGCGCTCACCATTTATGAGAATACCCTCTTTGATATGCTCTAAGGCCTGGCTCATGACGTATTCCGAATAGAAGTTGAATAATAGGGGAGAGAGTATGCAGCCCTAATGTACTCCTCTCTAAATTGCAACTTCCTCTGTTAGTTGGTCTTTCACCCGAATGGTTGCTGATTAGTTGTAGTATATGTTCTTGATTACTCGAAGGTCTTTGTTATCCAGATCAGTTGCCTTTAGTATATATATGAGCTTATCGTGCTTGATTATGTCGAAAGCTTTCTGTTAGTCGATAAAGCATACATTAATATCGCAGTTGACGTCTCTGCACCTTTGAAATAATACCTGGACCGCGAACAATACTTCTCTTGTACCTAACGCATCTCGTTGACTTGCATTTCTGATAAATTCTTCTGTGTATTATGTTTAAGAAGGTCTTAAGAATGTGGCTCATTAGACTGATAACACGAATCTCTTTGCATTTTTTGCATTAGGTTTTTTAGGTATAGCAATAAATGTAGATTTTAACCAGCTCTTTGGGATTTTTCCAGGGTCATAGATTTTATTGAACGTTGTCGTAAGCCATTTTACTCCTTCGTCTTCCATGATTTTTAGAAATTCTAAATGAAAGTTGTCGGGCCCTGGTGCTTTACCTGCTTTTGATGCTTTAATTATAGCTGTGACTTCGTCTTGAGTGATTGGTGGTCCTGTGTCGTATTCCATAATTATCTGGTTGTTATCTCTATCGTCATCGAATGTCTTCTCAACGTATCCCTTTCATATATTGTTTGTTAGTTCAATATCTATTACCGGGTAGCCATGATCATCAGTCATATGTCATGATCTCTTGGGTTTGTTCACTCCTGCTGCCTCTTTTGCCTTCTTGTGACGATTAAACGAGTCCTGTCTACTTTTCAATGATTCTATTTCTCTGCATTGATCTTCCAATCATTTGTTTTTGGTTTCTCTAATAGTTTTTCTTATTTCTTTGTCACATGTCTCTGATTTTAGCCCTTCTTCCATTCTTCACCCTATTTATGATTTTATCAGTAATCTACTCTTTCTTTTAAACCGTTATTGGGCAAAGATATTTATCTAGGATTGTCTGGTTAATTTGTTGTAGTTTTGACATTTCGTTATCTGGTTCATTAACTTTGTCTGTATTTTTTAATTCTTTTTCTATATAGGTTTGTATATGGTGCCTGGTGTCTTCATTTTTAATGGTCCTAAATCGTATTTTCTTGCTTTTACACTCTCTATTTTTTTCAGCTTTAGTCTGATGTTAACTACCAGTGGCTTATGATCCGACCCGATATCAGTACCAGGATATATTTTGGCTAATTGTTAAGGTGTGGATTTGGAAAATAAATAGTCGTACTTTACTACTATTATAAAAGGCTTTATTTCCTATAACATACATACTAATTAACTAACCTAACTTAAGCCACCATACTTCTTACTACCACCTACAACTACATGATACTCATTGACATTACTATTATTGTCTGTCATGTCAACCCATGACACTATGGGTGCGTTCCGCTTACTCTTACACCAATATATCTGTGTATACAATATAAATGTATTACATTCTCAACACGCCTCCTTACATTTACATTGTATTTACATTAATTCAAATTTAACATACTTCGAAATTTTTCAAATTTATCTTGGCCCAAGGACTTCGTAAAAATATCTGCAATATTATCATCAGAATCTACTTTAACCACATTTATAACATTTGCTTTAACATAATCATTTACATAATGATAATGAATTTCAACATGCTTAGAATTTTTTGTAAAATTGCCATAATTAGCTATACTAATTGTACCAGTGTTATCTTCATAAACATCAATTGGCTTTATTATTTCAATATCAAATATTTTCAACAATTCTTTTACAAATATCAATTCACTTACTGCTTCTGACAATGCTACATACTCTGCAAAAGTTGAAGCTTTTGTAACGCTTTTTTGTTTTCTAGATTTCCAATAAATTACATTACCAAACAATCTTATTACAAAACCAGTTGTAGACTTTCTATCTAAATGATCACCTGCCCAATCGGCATCCACATAACAATCAATAATACTTACTTTTTCATTTCTGTTATAAAACAATTTTAAATCTTTAGTTAAGCATAAATATTTCAAAATTCGTACAGCATATTTAAAGTGCGTTTCATTATAGCAATTTTGAAATCTACTCAGATAATTTACGCTGAAACTTATATCAGGCCTTGTTGCCGAACTTATGTATAATAGTGCACCAATTAAATTTTTATATTTAATATTTCTTTCACAATGATCAGATTTATCAATTTTTAAATTTACTTCCATAGGTGTATTATACAGTTTACCTTTTTCTAAATTATATTTTTTCCTTAATAATTCAATATATTTATTTTGATCCAATCTCATTTCATGTTTACTAGAATCATAATCAACAGTAATACCAAGATATTCTTTAATTTCACCAATATCTTTCATTTTAAATTTTTCTGATAATAAAATTTTAATCCTTTTAATTTCATTTAAATTTCTACCACAAATCAATAAATCATCGACATAAATTAATAAGTAAATAATATCATTTCCAATTTTATAAACGTACAAACAAGGATCAATATTACTTCTTTCAAAACCTAAATTTATCAAAAATGTATCTAGGCACTCATACCATGCCCTTGGACTTTCTTTTAAACCATATAAAGCTTTAACTAATTTACAAACTTTACTTGTTCCATCTTCGTAACCCTTAGGTTGTTTAATATAAACTTCAGAAATTACTTTACCATTTAAAAAGGCTGTTTCAACATCCATTTGTTCAATTACTAGGCCCATTTGACAACAATATGACAATAAAATCTTTAATGTTTGCATTTTAGCCACAGGTGAATAAATATCATCAATTTCATCAGTTTGTTGAAAACCTCGTACAACCAATCTAGCTTTATAAGTATTATCAGACTTTTTAGTATAAACCCATTTAACATCCAGAATATTTTTGTTTGTATCATTTTTAACCAATTTCCAAGTTTTACTTTTATTTAAACTATCAATTTCTTTGTCCATAGCTGTTTTCCAATACTTACTTTCATTAGAATTTATCGCCTCCTCAAATGTATGTGGTATATCAGTTCTACACATATTTACAAAAATACTACTATTATATACATAGTAGTCATCAAATTTCTTTGGAGGATTTTTGGCTCTGTGAGATCTAGGTAACTCAGGTTCATTTTTATTCACACTATCATCCATACTTTCATTTGTACTTTCAAAAGTTTCATCTATTGAGTCATTTTCAGAGCTTTCATCAATTTTATCAGGGTAACACTCTTCATTATTATCATTATCTGATTCGTTAAAGTCTAAACCTATACACTTAACGTTTTCTTCAACAATATCCACGTGTCTAGCAACAATGACTCTGCCATTTAA